TACGAGCTGGTAATGGTGAAGGGTACGGATATGGCGATGGCACACGAGATGACCAAGAAGGTGGCGGAGTATGAGGGCCTTTTGATTGAATTGATGGGGGAGGTGGAACACTTGAAGGGCAGGTTGGAGTGCGCTCCGGCTACAGTTGTTGCTGCGCCGGTCGTCGCGCCTACAACAGTCAGGAGGTCAGCAGTCACGAAACCTGAGACGACTTCAGCGGTGGCGTTTCCGTCGTTGCCAGGACCTAAGCCCGTTGAGACGTGGTCGGTGGTGGTGAAAAGCAAGTCGGGCAAGAGCGCAAAGGAGGTGGTGAATAAGGTAGTGGAGGAGGTGGGGCCTACCCTTGGCGTCCGTGTGCATGAGGTGCGGCCTATTAAGGAAGGTGCGATAATCCGTACGCCTTCGGTGGCAGAACGCAGGAAGGTGGTGGCGAACACTAAATTCGCTGAGGTCGGTTTGGAGGTGGAGGTGAGCGACAGACTGGGCCCGAAGGTTGTGGTGCAGCGGGTACATAAGGCGCTCTCCGTGGATGAGTTCATGGGTGAACTCCACTCCCTCAATTTCAGGGAGATGGATGAGGCGCAATTCAGGCGATCGGTACGCATGCTGAGTGCGCCCTGGAAGGTGGAGGCTGGGGATGGTACAGTTAATGTAATGCTGGAGTGTACGCCACGCGTTGCGGAGCAATTACGGGCCACTGGTGTTTACATCAAGTGGTTCCGCTTTATTGTGCGGACCCTAGACCCAATTGCCGCATGCTATAGGTGCCTGAGCTTTGACCACAGGGTGCGCGACTGTAAGGTCCAGTCGGAAGTCTGTCGCAGGTGCGGTGATGCCGGCCACTGGGCTAGTAGCTGTCCAAATGAGTTAAGGTGCAGGAACTGTGCCTTCAGGGGATTACCTGACGGGCATCTTATGATGTCTCAGGCTTGCCCTGTTTATGCTGCCATGGTTGCTAGGGTAAACGCTCGTCACTAATATGGAGTCGATTACTATAGTTCAGCAAAATCTTCAGAGGTCGTACGTTGCTACGTGCTGGGTCGGGAATGAGATGCGGCGTCGGGGTGCTCCTTTTGCGTTATTGCAGGAACCATATTTCGTCGATGGTGGTATCAGGGGGTTACCTGCGGGTATGCGGGTCTTTGCCAACTTGGCAGGGAACTCCGCAGTTGTTGTTGATGATAGGGACGTGGACTGTACGGTTGTTAGTAGGGCGCGTTGGGGCGTGTGTATATCGGTCGAAGGGGTGTTCGGGCGTATGCTCCTTGCGAGCCTGTATTGCGCGTATGGGGTCGATTGGACCCGTACATTAGGTACATGGATTCGGTGTTACCCAAGGGAGTAACATACCAACAATCCTCGGTCTTGATGCAAATGCATGCTCCTCTATGTGGTTCAGTAAGATGCCCAGAAATGTTACTGGACATCCGAACTACAATAGAGGAGTTGTGCTTGGCGACTGGCTGGTGACGGTTGGTGTGTCGGTGTTGAACGAGGCCAGTCCATTGTATACGTTTGCGGGTCCAAATGGTAGGAGTGACATTGACCTGACGATTGCCAATAATTTGGCATCGTCACGTTTTGACTTTAGGTGGAGAGTTAGGGACAATGGGGGGATAAGTGATCACAATCTCATTGAGATTGTGGTTGCTTATCGCCCCATTGCTGGTTGGACTGGTAGACTTCGTGGGTGGCGTGGGCGCGATATTGATTGGGGAGTTTATCAGGAGTGGCTTAGGACGGCTGCATTAGGGCAGCCTATAGATAGGTTTAGGGTAATGACGACGGACGAACAGATTGGTCAGTTAGACAGTTGGCTGTGTGGCGTTAATGATGCCCTTCTGGGTCGTAGTCGCCCGACTAGGCCACGAAGGGTTCGGTGGTGGACGAGCGAGCTAGATCAGATGCGGAGGAGTGTCAGGCGCCTCAGGAAACGTTTCCAGAGGGTCGGGCAGTCCGATGTTGAAGAAAGAGCTCGACGGGGTGCTGTCTATCGGGCCAGTCTTAGGGAATATAAGGATAGGATTTTGGAGGTCAAGGAAGCGGAATGGAGGGAATTCGTGCGTCAGAATAGGGACGACCCGTGGGGTACGGTTTATCGTATCTGCGCGGGCCGTAATAGGGACTTAGTAGTTGAAGGCATCCGGGTGGACGGTGGCAGCACCGTTACTGCTTGGGATGAGTGTATGGGCGCGCTGATGGCTGTTTTCTTTCCAGTTGTAGAAGGTGTTGGTAGCCCTCCTCTCATTAGGGAGGGAGCTGTTCCTCCTGCACTGCTAGGATCCGAAATTAGTGATAGTATCTGCAAGGTCAGGAGTAGAAAGTCTCCAGGTTTGGATGGTATGACTGGAGAGATGTGTAAAAGCATCTGGAAGGCTATGCCAGAATACCTGGAGTCAGTCTTTGCGAAGTGCCTCAGTGAGGGCTACTTTCCTGAGGCTTGGAAAAAGGCGCGTGTTGTGGTGCTTCTAAAGTCCCCCGATAAAGATAGG